ACGTCGTTCGATCAACACCGCGTTTCTTTCGCAATTTCAAGGCACTGGAATCTAGCCCCTTGCCCAGGCGATTCGATACCTTCAGACACTTCCTGAATCGGATCTGTGGTGGAGAAGATTTAATGCGTTAGGGTCAGGACGATCGTAATGTTATGAGGTTCTGGGTGGCTCCTCGGGTGGACAGACACGGAATTACTACCGATCGCCGAGAGTCTGTCAAGGACACGACGCTTGGGCATCAGGCCAACACGTCGACATCGTCTTTGCTGCTTGTGGTACCAGAACCATCTTCGGAAGAGTGGAGAGCCAACACTAGAGCACTCTCACGCATGTTTCTATCCTGTAATGACGCAAGCCTGTTTTGTGAATGGTGGGATTCGAATTGGAAACCAATCGATGTGGTTGAAGCTATCGAAGCAACTGTGATCATCCAGAGCAAGCTTTGCACAGCACACAAGATCTGGATCTGTCAGTAAGTGTTGTGAGAGACTGTGCTAACTTACCAGAAAGGCAGTCTTTGGTGGGTACCATAAAGTCAGTGGAGTTGCACCAACTAGTGCACTTATAAGTAGTGGTGCAACAACAAGACACCAAATCCGCCACTTCCATATGTGTCGGAATTTTGTTCCTCTGAGGGAACAGATCCACAAGATCCATAAGAGAAAGACGGTGTAGTGTAAGCCCCAGCCGACATGCAAAATAGGCACCAAGGCAGATCTTGCCAAGTGAGGAGTTAGACCAGGCGCCGCATCCCATATGCACAGCCCTGCTGCAACGCACTGGAGACAAGCAGTGAAAATGAGAGCCAGTACTCCGTAAGGCCACAATGATTCACCCGGAAGGAAAAGAAGTATCCGAAGATGGTAGACCTGTGGTTTGTCAACAGACAATTGCCATGGTCGGGCGTCACCAACCTTCAGAACCGCTGCCTGCATCCATGCCAGTTGATACGATGATAGCGATACAGCTTCGAGCCTCAATACCGATGTCACTATCGATAAGACGAGGCAGCATATCCACAGGCCAATATTTATGATGATGTACCGGCGGTTTGACAAGAGTGAGATGTTCTGGCAGCGGCTGCTTTCGACGTGGCGTATGTATACCTCGGTTAGTAGGAATAAAGAGCTGAAGCCAATAGGAAGCGCCGCCGTTGCAGAGAAGCCCATCTCGAAAGTCAACCGGCGAATGACGAAAGGGCGGTGGATCCATGGATTTAAAGGACTTCTCAGCCTCCTAGGGTCTGACCTAAGCATAGCGCGGATAGTTCGGACTTTCAATCTCAACATTTCTCGCACGGCACACTTTGTTGAAGTCAGACACCTTGATTTTGCTACAGGTACATGTTGCAATTACCGGGCACATTCCGTCTGCCTTCTTACCTTGCAACGCTAGTGTAGCTCGAGCCTACGGCCACCGGGGTGTCAACGAGCTCTCACCCTTACTTACAGCCCTAATTTTTTTGCGCCTCAAACAGGATAACCTGCGCCTTCTCCAAGGTCTCTCACAGCTCACATGCTACAGCATACAATAACACACTGTCGCACGGTTGGGTGCAGGTATAGTAGACATAATGATTAGAAGGGTGTGTATGTGTTGTGTTGTGTTGTTTGTAGCATCCTAGCTCAGCTTATATGGAGGTCATTGCCCAGCGTTATTGGTAACGAGGTTCATGTTCCCGACAGCGCTTGGTCTGCGACACACAGTTTTCAGCTAACGCCCGTCCCTGCGAAACGGGGCACGCAGGGTGTCCCGTTTCGCAGGGATGGACGTTACCACCTCGTCCTGCACTTCATAGTCACGCACGACTGCCTTGAACAAGACAATATGCAGTAGAGATTGTTACATATTTAACTTTTCGTCCGACACCTTGTCGATATAGCTGGCTGAGAGACGTAAGCTATACTTCCCCTGTAAGGTTAGCGCGGTTGAAGGCTCCGCACGTGATCAGTGCCTGTGTTGGCTCCTAGAATCTGGCCGCCTCGCTACTTGTGCGGCTAGGAACACGACGTTGCGGAATCTCCGGACAGCTAATCTAAGTCTCTTACACGAAACCAAGCCCCATCCCAGACTTGGTCAACACGACAAAAGATATAGCGTGCTTGGCGATGCAGCAAGACATATCGACACTATTACAGTGCTGAACGCCGGTAGGCCGTGACTGATCGCCTTGCACAGTAATAGCCAACTAGGCGAGACTTGGGCACCTTTTCCATGCACTTAGCGCCCGGGGTTAGTCAAGCCCCACGAGAAGAGATGGCGGCGCAACGCTTAGCGTCCATAGCGATGTTCTGGTGAGATGTGAGGCCATTTTTCGTACATGTTGAGTAATCGGGCAATTACCATCGCGCATGGCACGTTGCCGACGCTCCGATGGTTGCTTACTGTAGCCAGGACAGACCAAGGCTCACCTGCCGAGGTAGAAAGCTGCAATGTCATGCCTGAAACACCTGTAGCTAAGGCAACCATAGACTTGCCACCACCAATGTCAGTGCGCGGGTCGAGCCCG